TAAGTTCATCGTTTTACATCTTTACATTCTCTCTTCCGTCTTACTCTCCCGACAACTTTACACTTAATATTATCATTACTTCATCTCCTCTTCGCATGGCGTCCTTCATGTCACCATCGCACTGGCGACCAACTCGCCGCTTCCCATTCGGGTTCCACTCGAGTGATGGCCTGGTGTGTGATGTCACTCACTTGATGGTTTGTTTTCTCAGAGTATGGCTAATCCACCTCCATTTCTTCCTGCATATTTGTTGCACAATTGGTTCCTGCTGGGTTGGTTCATTGCCAGAAATCTTTTCTGGCCGGCCATCTGATCTTGAGCGAAGACAGGTTTTGATGAAGGTGTGTAGTTCGTTTGAAGTGCCCTTTGTGACGCGACGCTGCGCCAAGTCTCTGATTCATATAGCGAGTAGCACTGACTGCACATTGGAGTTGAAAATGCTGATGTTATTTTTCATGCTGAGTGCTGTTGATCTCCACACAGACTTGAGAGTAACGAAAGCTTGCCTTGCTTTCTCGATGATCCTCGCTTTGATGTGCTCATCAGTTCCGTCCGCCTGTAGTTGAAACGACGATGCTTCCCAGGTAGGTCGGTAGGTAGCTGAAGGATGTTGCTTCTTTCAGATTCCTCCCATTTATGCTGGCTGGTTGTTGTAGCTGTTGCTGTTGGCCAGGAATCTTCATTACCACAGCTGTTTTCTCTATGTTCATCTGAAGTAAGTCCTATCTCTGATGCTTCTTCTGCCAACTTGTTGCTTTTCACTTGCATATCCTCCAGTTTGTGAGAAATCAGACATATATATGTCATCGGTGGAATTCAGATCCTCGAAGTGTTTTTTGTGTGGGTTAATTTTGTGCCTGTTTCCTCGTTGCCCGTCGTCTGTCACATTATCTAGTCTACCGCATTCAGGAAAATCAGTGGAGATAGTAGACAGCTTTATCTTACTCCCGTTTTCATTTCGAAGTGTTCCGTGAGTTTCCCGTTGTGGATTACTTGGCATTCAGCATTATGGCTATTATCAAAAATAATAATTTTCATCTCTTGTCCGAATTTCTAGATGTTTGTAGCTACTCACAAATCATGAAGTCGTTTATGCAGTCCTGTATCATTAAGCAGGTGGAAGTATACTGGTACAATAATTATTGGGAATAATTATCATCATATCTTATTCAGATAGCGAAGTTCTCTTTAGACTTAGATTGTTGTTATTGTTACACCGCTAAGCTTTCAGTTATTCATACTAAATGATGTTATTCCGCATTAAAATTACCGAATGTTACTGTGAAATAAATCGAAATTTCTCAGTAATCGTGAGTTTTTAGTCATTCGACAGTCACTTAACTTTTAGAGTCACTGAAGTTTTGCATCCGTATATATACATATATATATATTTACTGGGAAATAGATATGAGAATAGATGATATAGTTACGGATATTTGATTGATTGCATGTTCTCATTACTTTGAACATGCTGTGGAGCAGATTCATACATTGATTTCTAGTCTGAAATGCGAAACCTGATATGACTCCAGAGGTGTTTAAAGATGCTGATGAAGTATGCACCGGGTTAACTAAGATATTAAGCAGTGTGTGGGAATCCGAGAGAGTCCCGTTAGACTGGTTAGGATCATCATGATGCTAAGAACCAATGACTGGAGACTGTTGATGATATGGCTCAAAATAGCTCTTAATGGCGCTGATGTATTCACCATTTGTTATCTCCCACATCCACTGAACTGTCATATTTTTCCATGTTACTATTCTTTCTCCCGCACATTTCTACTCGTTGTGGTTCTTTTGAATCTATTCTCTCTCTTTTCCCTACCTTTTATGCTGCATGGAGTGTGCAACTTGAACTGGTGCACTTCTGTGCAAAGTTCTATGTTGAAACTCAGTTAGTTAGTCGGTTTCGGTAGGCTGGTGTAAATTCTTGATTATCCCAGTGACAATCGAGGTTGGGAGGTGGATGGGTTGTGTAAATTGGCTTGACTAACAATATCTAAAATTCGAGGTCCGCGAATCCCGCGTAGACTGGGAGTTGCTCAGGAGAAGTATTTGTCTTATCTTCAGCCTTCGATAAATTCTGGAACATAGACACTTGCTGGCGTCCAACACTTTCCACTTCTTGACATGAAGACGATATTCTATTCTGTTGACTGAAAGGTGCTGTGACAATGTCTGTTGGTGAAGGAAGTGCTCAGAAAGAACACTACACTAATGAAGGCATTCTACTGGGTGGGAATCACAGCCGTGCAAGAGCATACGAAGAGTTGTCATCTGACGACCAGTGATGTCCGTCAGGAACGCCCAGTGTCTCCGTTTTTGTTTAATTTCATCGTACATGTATTGATAAGTGTAACCGTGATTGATTTTAGCGACCTGTGGCAAGGAGCAGTCTCATATCTTTATAGTATGCAAATGGTACTGTCCTTGTAGGTAAATCTGATGACGATATGCGGAGTCTTCTGCACACGTTGAGCAGAAATCTTAATACGTTTGGCATACGATTCGCTTCTGTGAAATGTAAGATGATTCTATAGGAGTGTTTTGCATCGACTCATAGTTTAAAGATAGGAAGTAAAGTGGTTGGGTGTGTTGACCACTAGATTTACTCGAGAAGTTGCATCAGCATTAATGTAGTGATTGCTGACGAAATCTCAGCATGGATATGGAGGGCTTGTGTACATTTGTGAAATGAAGTTATCCCTGGTGTAGACGTGATGTCTGGCTATCGACAAAAAGTATGTACTGTTCAACAGTTCGCTTTTTCTCTCTTCATGACTGTAGGACAGAACCGTAAAAAGAAGAGGATATGAAAGGATCATCTGTGCGTAGTCATGATTGTTTGTGTCCTGTCTCCCGTGTTAAATGGCATAATATTATAACTTATATTGAGGTTGGGTGTAGAAAGTTAGGTGATAGAGGCAAATCAACTGCTAAAGTTGTGAAGCTGCATCGATTGAGATAACTGGGACACGTGTTACACATTCGAGGCCGTCATCTTCCCTGTCGAGCAATGTTAGTCGACATAAGATTAGATTGGAAGAGGGTTATTTGTGGTGCAGTCGAAACCTGACATCAATGCTTGAAGCCTTTGACTAGTGGTTTGAGTCACGTAAGGAGATATAGACTGTCTGGCTGTATTCCTGGAGGTGCAAAGGAGCAACGGTTTGAGAGTTTTGGTGACATGGCCCAGTTTTAATGTTAAATGCGTAGTTGCATTCGCTGTTTGTAATGTCTCATTCATTAAATTTTTATTATTTCTCATGCAATTATTTATTCTTCTGCAAGTTTCCCATCACCATAGGTCCTTTTTCTTTTTTGTTTCATTTGGAGGGTGGCAACTAAAACTGTCTCACTTTTTTCGTAAAGTTCACCTACGAAAACTCGAACAGTGTGTTAGTGATAGTGTGCATTTAGTGCTATAGGTGTTCTTATCAGAAAAACTGGCGAATATATTAAATAATATCAGGATCAAGGGATTTAACCTGTTAAGAATTTAACTTTGCTACATGCAGTTTTCCTTTGGAATATGGCTCACTTGCAACATAGAGTATCCTTGTATGTGCATATTTATTTGTTTTTGATAATTGAGTTTGTGCAAGTCAATCAGCGATCTCCAACGAATAAAATGAGATTCCGTCTCATAAAACAGAAACTTATTTCAGACCAGAAGAACGCTGGGAATATGCTTACAGTTTTTGTGTCTAAGAAAGCATAAAATTAAATTGTAACTGAGTTCCAAGATAATGTTTACCTGTATCGACAGTGACTCCTCTTATGTTTATGACTTAATTCAGCAAATGGATAGCTTGCGCTTCCACTCTCTGGAACAGTTCCATTCTGTTATTTCTGTAATATCAGTCCGTGTACTTTGGTTAGTAAACATCGCGAAACTCACTAGCTTCTTTGTACTTTTAAGAAATTAAGCAAGTAAATATATGAAGTTTTAAAGCGCTTCTGCAAACGGTAATACATATATGCTAAAGAGAAATATGAAGTATCAGAGATAGTTTTCTGTGTTGAGCTTTAGTTACTGTCCTAGCGTGTATTGGCTAACCATTTAGAAATGCAGAACAGCTTCATGCTTTCGTTATGATTATCTCATATCCTTGCGACGGTGATAGTATTTAGATCTAAATAGCATATTGTCATAATTTCTCACTAGTTAGTTTCTATAGATATTTATCATTTGTGCAGGAAAACGTTCTTCCGCGACATCTCGTTACACAATAAAACTAAGTGCCTTAATTTCTACTACGGTCACACGAATGTCCTCATGTAGAGCAGTCACTAGCTGGTTGGTGAAAACTGAGTCCACTGAATGTTTAGTTTTAGTCGCGGGAATACTTTGGCATTGTGGTTTAGTAATTCTTGACAAAAAGAATTCGCTATCAGGCTTCAGATGAACATAGTTGTTTTAGACCTGGTGACTTGCAATCAGTGAGCGTGACATTACATAATTAAAACTTGAAAGGGTGAATTAAATGTGAACTTGTTGATGTGAAGAAATTTTAACTTAATTGAATTTCATTTTATATTTATCACATTTTTAGAAAATATTGAAAATGGGGAGGCAATAAATGACAATCAGCATTTGTGTGAACTGTCAAACCATGTAGTCAATAATACAGTACCTACTAACAGTCAGACGAGTAGTATATGTGAAACGCTTACACCAAGTACTTCCACCTCAGAGGAAGCATGGAAACCATTAAGTCAGAAACACAAATTGAGATCTATAGAATCCCTTTGTGAAGTTATGCTTCTTGATGGTATTCCTATACCTTTCACCAATGAAAACACGGATTGTGTTGCCTGTAAACTAAGAAATCACGTGCAAACTGAAACGGTAATCAGGATGGTTTGTGCAGCGTGCCCAGAATTTCCTCGGCTTTGTTCAGCACAATGTTTTCGATGGTGGCACAATGTTCATTTACCGGCACTCCGTAATAAACCAAGAGCAATAATCGACAGGGGATTTATTGCAAAAGTGAATGTAAATAATTAACAATATATTCTTTTTAAAATATACAAATGTGATTCAACAGAGCATATATACACAATATTTTTGTATTTTTCCCCCATTCACATCAGGGTTTAATATCACGGGCTGATGATTATTCTTGGAAAAAATTTTCGTTCACAATATACCGTATACACTGCATAAGTTGATTACGTTCTTTGCGAATATCTTCTGCCAACAACTGAAATAATTTGCAACAATAAAACAAATAAACACAACTGAATCACACAATAATCTAATTACGAACTTAGTTTTAACAAGGTGAAGATAAATAAAACATAACAGGCAGTTAGAAATCTTGAGTATTCTAGACAACATACAAGTTTACTTAGTAAACCTTTGAATTCCACCTACTAAAGCTGCCTATGAATGTCATAATATCGGAAATGAATAAATAAGACTTTCATATAAGAAAACATTAAATCGACCACGGGTTTGAATGTCCCGCCCCCTCACCGCACCTGCTACCTAGATATTGCAGTTAGATGATATTGTGGTTTGTCAAAAGTCTAAATCGGGCTCATTACTAACTAGATTAACATGTACTTTGATTGGACACTAGTAACTAGTGTGATGCGTCTCGTCCTTTTTTGGTGCAGAATGAATTCGTTCAGTTAGGTTTGTAATGTGGCCACCATTCTAGGTAGCTCGCCATCACGGTGAACATTGATTTGATGACATTAGATGGTTGGAAGCAATCGGCAGGAAGTCTTAGGCCTAGGTATCGTTCTAGTTGGTACTTGTCATCAAAGGCGTATTTACAAACTTGAAAGAACTTATGTCCCTTCTGAAGTTTTAACTAGCGCCACCCAGTGCTGCGGTCAGAGACGTTACCACTGAACTATTCAGGCTGGCGAACGACCTCCTGTAGGAATGTATTGGATACTTTGATTAGACATTAGTTAGTAGCTTGTTTAATTTGTTCAGTCTTTTCTTTGGTGCAGACTGAATTCTATTGTCAGTCAAGTTTCCAATGTGGCCATTATTCAAGTGGGCTCACCATCACGATGCACTGTGAATAGTTGATAATAGATGGTTGGAACCAATCGGCCACAGGAAGCCCTACCTGACTTAGGTCTCGTGCTAGTTGGCACTCACCAGTTAGCAGGGCATATCTGCACTCACCTTGAAGGACCTCATGTTCCTTCCGGAATTCGAACCCGTGTCACCCAGTTCTGTATTTATTGTAAATTTCGATAGACTCTGTTTTGTGAAAGATACAGGAATGTCGACATCGATGTTTCGTCCAATAAGCTCTTCGAATATAAAGTCTACTGTTTTCATAAGTGGTACATTAATTAGTTAACAAGGTAGATATGCTAAACGGTGACATGAATTTATTTATCTTTTATCCTTTCAACAGATGCAAAGGTGTCTTATACGCTCTGTTTCACCAATTCAGGCTTTAAGAGTTAAACCGAACATTTGGCCATAGAGTGATGTATGTATATATAATTGTAGAGCTTGAAGAGGAATTTGTCAAAAAGAATGTCCTTTGCTTTGTTCAAGGTTGCAGATGCGCCTTGCTGATCTTGTTTTCACATGACTACTATTTGAGACATAAACATTGATGTCAATTACTGTCTACCAATTTGGCTAGCAGTCATCTCTCACCACACCTCTATAGATATTCATAACTTGACAGATTCTCGTTATTCATAATCTAACGGTACATCGATGGTTCAGCTGTAGAGAATGCTCGTCAACCACACGGAAGATCTAGGTTTTGATTCCCGATTGATGCACTCCTAGACGTTGGCTAGTATACAAGCCGGTAACGAGCATGTAAAAGAGGAAAGTTTTAGCGAGTGACTTGCAACCATACGCTGTAGAAACAACATCACACCTGCTGAATATTCAAAGCTTGAAGCCATATGTTCCACTCGGAACGCAAAGGAATAAGAAAGTCGTCGAGCGACAATTTTTGTATGCTATCCAGTTATCCCTTCAATAGCTGGCTAATATGCATCGTCTCGTCAGTTTCGCACGTTTCGGTCTTTGATGGGAAAAGGGCACACTGATCACTGAATCTCAACTCAGTTTTTGGTACTGCACCTGGTGAAGAAAGTATGTAGACTTATCGGATACCAATTTGAAACAACTGGTGGTCGTCTTTCTATTGTACTGTGGTTTACTGACAACTGATCTTCCGTTAATAACTTTGACCATAAAGCAGAAATGCACTAAGACCAGTAAGCATATTTTAGCGTCATAAGAACACAAGAATAATGAATTCAAAGTCTGACAATTCTTTGCTGGTTTTTATCCTGTTAAATATGAGTGAGACGACGTTCTTCTCATATAACACGAAACCTACAACCATTTATTGTCAACAGTTCACAGTGTGTCGTGATGGCGAGCCCACTAGAATAATGGGAACAATGGAAACTTGACTGACGATAGAATTCAGTCTGCACCAAAGAAAACACTAGACAAATTAGACAAGCTACTAACTAGTGTCCAACCAGAGTAGTCGACACTTTGTTTGATTAGTAGAGTTTAAATGCGTGGTTAACTAGTAAATTGGAAAAAGAATGCATAAATCACTGCAGGCCACTAAGTCTTCTAGTGGTATTAGCTTTTGTGTTATATTTAAAGGTCAGTTATTAAGAATTCGAAGTCTAATCCATAAGGCAGCTGAGCAACCTCAGTAGCTGCGTTCACATGCTTATCAGCCAGTAAAGCTAGTTTGGCATAAAACTAGCCTTCTTCTTCACTTCGCGTCCGCAAATATTATTGAAGTGTTGGTGATTTGCAGGCATTTTATTTCTTTAAGGATTTCATCATCAGCTAACATCGGATAACGAAGCACTGGAAAACATTAGAGTACTGTTTCGTCCTAGTTTGGGACTCTTCAGCTCAATGGTCTACGGATTCGCCATGTAACCGGAAACTCCTGAGTTCGAACCCCGGTGGGTGCGTACTGTAAACAGTCCCAAACTAGGACGAAACAGCCATCCAGTACTCCCAGGTTTTCCAGTGGTTCACAAACCGATGTCATCTTATGATGAAATCCTGAAAACAATATTATTATTATTCTGTGGCCAAACTTTACCACAGCATTCTGTTGACCCTCCATAGCGCTTCTACTCGTGTCTTGAGAGCACGAAATTTGACTTAAGTCTTGTGAAAACACTTAAGCCACAGGAAGGAGGCGGACAGTTGACTTCAAAGAAAACAAGTATTGACAAACTTCTCTATGAAATGACTTGCAGAAGAATAGAGGAACCTGTTTAATGACAGGAAAAACTAGGACATTGAAGAGATTCAAACTGAGACATTTAAAAGGATGCTTCCAACAAAGAATATTTTCTTTGCGATGAAGTCATCAACTAGGCTGTTCATTCGTGTATTTTTTACAAATAAGTGGAAAAGTTCCAGAATAAAATAAGATTACAATTAGGAATTAAAATGCTATAATAAACAGGGGGACAGATAAAACTCAAACAAGGTAGCATCATAATTACTGAGAAGATCGACATATTGTGCAATTAGGGGTTAGAAATGTAGAAATAACAAAAACAGACAGGATGTTTGGATAAAAACTCCAGTAGGATCATAACTAATGTGACGAATAATTGTTTATGCAGTTAGAGATTAAATATGTAGAAATAATAAAATGACAAAATATACAGGAAGTTCGGATATGAAAATATGGTAGTGTAAATAGGGATTAGGAAAAACTTAATATAACATGAACAAAAGGGAAGTTTGGATAAGAAAGGTGATGGGATAGTCACTATTAGAAGAATTACCTGTTTATGATGGCCATGGCAGGAACAAGGGTTGGACGTATTTCTTTTGGGTACATAGCGTGGATTTGAGCTTTTGGATGGCTAGTGCCTTGGCTATGCCCAAATGTCTTAATTTTATTCCTTTTGATAGGTTTGATCGAATCTTGTATATTATTTTGAAGGATTTTTCGAATGGTGCTGAATGTTCTAAATTGACCAGATGTTCTGTCACTGAACTATATACACGTTTTCGTTCTCCTTTTACTAGCCAGGCTGGATGGTGTTCACGAGCGCGTTTTCCGAATTGGTGCATGGTACGGCCGATGTAGTCAGCTCCGCAACAGCAAGTAAACTGATATATGCATGATGAAGTGGCCCAATATTGTTTTTGAAATTTATTATCATCAGATAGTATAACCGAGAGTTTGCTAAGGTAGTCTGATTTGTTCATCAATACGATCCCGGAGCCTTTCTGGCCGTGTCATGATCAAGTTTTCATTACCCTTCAGTTCTAAGCGAACTATCGGTGATACTATCTGATGATAGTAAGTTTCAAAAACAGTCTTCACAGAAAGATCCCACCGAACAGACGGAGCTCTCGCTAACGAAGATATTTAAGAAAATGAAATACGAATCCATCATCAGTTCAAAACTATACAAACAACTGCGTCCATCTGGTTCTACAACGCCGCGCATGTACAGCTTACCTATAGTGCACAAACAAGACGTCCCACTCCGCCGAATACTAGATATGATAGATTCCCCATATCACTCCATCGCAAAATGGCTAGTGGAGATTCTTAGGCCGGTGTAAGAGAAGCTGTCAAGACACAACCTCCGTGACACATTCGACTTTGTTGATTCAATTAAGAATGTCAACGTGGCAGAAATGAAAATGGTCTCCTCGGATATCGTCTCTCTTCATCAACGTTACATTGACAGAAACCGTATGTTTCCATTGTGACTACATTCAATTCAATAGCATCGATGTTGGTATACCGATCCATTACCTAGAAGAACTGTTACTACGATGCACTTTCAACGTATACTTTAGATTCAACAACGAAATATACAGACTAGTAGATGGAGTAGCAATGGGTTCTCTCCCATAGTACCCCTCCTGGCCGACTGCTTTATGGCTAACCTAAAAAACAACTCCTTATCATCAACTATAGACGACTTCCATCTCTACAAGAGATACATTGATGATACTTTCATCATTTGTGATGAGAACATTGACCTTGAAAACTTACTTCAAACCTTCAACAATGCCCACCAAGACATCAACTTTACTCTGGAAGCTGAATGCGACGGAATGTTCTTTTTCCTCGACGTCCATCTGATAAGAAACGCCAACAACTCTCTGAAAAGGTCCATATACAAAAAGCCTACATCGAATGGACAGTTAATCAACTTCCAAAGCTTCGTGGCCCTAAGCAGAAAAAGG